GTATGGATAACTGAACCACCAAATGAATGGCATATTGACGAAACGATTAGAATTAAATTTTTTGTTACTGCTTCTACTATATTTTATGGACAATCTATGCAACTCAATATATTTTCACGTAATTCATTATTGAGGTGAGGATATGTTGTTCTTTTTCTTTAAAACTTTATTTAATGATGAGCTTGTTGTTTTAAATTACTGTCATGTTGTCTGGTATTCGTTTCAATTAAAGCAACTGTAGCGAAATAACTGGATTGAACTTAGAAAACACTGATTCATCAAGACTTTTAATTGTTTACTTAAATAGGACATCTAACAATATGATTTCATGAAATGTATAGTGTTATTAGCTTAAATGGCTTGTGATGTGTTCTATGTAGTAATTCACTTAACTAATTACAATCATTTTTCAATTAAAGTTATGGAGATTAGTGTTTTTTGCATATTGAAATTGTCAATCAAATTAAAAAAATCGTAAAATGTGCTCACTAGTGAGGATATTGGTGAGGAAATTCTCGGAGTACTAGTGGGGAGACGTGACCAGTGGAGTTCAACCCTGTCGGTTGTAGGCAGTAACTACCAAATACAAATAGGTGGGGTTGCGCAAAATTCGTAGGTCAATCAGAGTTAGATATTAACACCATTGGATGCCGGCTCAGTGGTCCGAAGGTTGGGCGTTTGCATGCGAAACCGAAGGTCGTGGGTTCGAATCCTGCAAGGTGCAGGAGTCATGGATACGCACTGATGGTTGAGTCCTATACGGGGACGAAACGGCCATTGTGTGCTGCCAGGTATCTAATAATGATCTAGCATTGATTGATTGATGAATTCAGTGAGTAATTACAATCAATCAGAGAAGAAATAATGGATTTGTTTTGCCTTAGTTCATGAATCTTTAGAAATCTACACCATTGAAAACTATTAAATTAAAAACTACAGGATGTCAACTGACTAGTATACTAGCAACATCTTTCTGATCATGATTTGTCAATGATAAAATTTTTCTACAGGTTTGTTTAACTACTTCCATTTGCCAAATTGAGTAGTACAGCAGGTTCAGAGTTAAATATTTTATGAGCATTAAAAATGGAAAAATATTTGTCATTACAGATATAGAGACTGAATTCAGAAGGAAAAAACCGATCTCAGAGATTCTATGAAATTCACCTGCACCGAGATCACTAACTTGCATCTGATATGCTTGAAACTAAAACCACCAGTTCGCCGTACTCGGTAAATGAGAGCGAAGCAATTATACAGTGACACGACGGGCTGTCCTGATACCATTGTCCCCGGCCCTGTTAACTAGAGAAAGAAGTCTTGACAAGGCGTAGAAAGTGTATTCTACAAGTATCCAGGAAATAGGAGGTTGACAAGCACACAAATCGAGTTTATTTATACGTGATAGGAACGTCCCTGGGACAGATATTAAAATAGCGTACTAAAATAAAATATCAACTAATGACAGTCAAGGATTTTCCGAGTGTGAAATGTAACCTCAAGGTCAACTGAGCAGCCAGTGAGCGAAAACACAAAATCCAAAATTAGCGCCTTTTTTTAAATGAGTTCTGGGGATCGCAGGTGTGTTTGAAAATCACTACAAATGAACTTTGGGTTGAATATTTTTTCAAGGATTTATGATTAATTTTTATTTGCCAGTTGTAAGTCGATAATTTAAACAAAAATTAAATCACATTTAATTCTTTTTATTCTTGATTCCATAGTTCCATTGGCGATGTTTCGTCGTTTTGTTCAGCAAGATCTTGTAAAATATTTCAAATTGAAAGAACATGCTGTATATGGCATATGAGTGTGTTTATGAATAAATTACCTTCTCCCAGTGAACAGATTTCTTTGGCTGTTTGTGATTTTAACAATTTCAATGATAATAATAATAGTATACCAGTTTATTCCGGTCCATCATTGAATTCAGAATGGAATCTTTTAGTTCCTAGTAAGTGCCTGTATGATGTTCGTCATGTCACATAAATAAATAACTAATGATCAGCTGTAATGTGTTGATTTGCCAATAATATTACAAAATGAAATATTTTTAAGTGAAGACAATGATTTATTTCATTATAGGGGTTGTGAAGATTGTTGAGTTACACATTTGAAATCATGAATTGATCAATGTTAGACCATCATTAGAAATATGGAAGTACTGCACGACGGCCGTTTCGACATGGTATGGGTATCCACAACTCCTGCACCTTCTGCACCCACCACCTTCAGTCTTGCGCGCTAGCGCCTAACCTCTGAACCGTTGAGCCGGAATTTAGGCGTTCGCGCGAAAGAGCGAAGGTCTTGGGTTCGAATCCTGCGAAGTGCAGGAGTTCTGGATGCTCACTGCTGGTGAGTGCCATGGCAGGACGAAACGGCCGTCATGTGCTTCCGAGTTTCTAACAGTGTTCTAATATTGATCGATTCATGGTTTCAAATGATTTATTTACCATTAGTAGTATTAAGTCGTAATAATCAGTTTTTAGTCAATGAATTCTAATTTTTTAGGACATAACGATAATCCTGCATAAAAATTGATTTAGAAGTTAAGGGAATATGGTGTACTTTGTGTTTACCAGTGATCAATTTCGAGTTGCAATTCCTAGATCTCTGTATGTACGCTGTAGCTATTTAGATTTATCTATGTTAGAAGGGTAACAAATATCATTATTGGCAAAAACCAATTATGTTTACAAAGAATCTGGAAATTGTTAAGACAAGAAATATAACTAATCGATATCAGAACGTAAACCTCTCTACACAGTCTAAGGTAAATGGTTGAACAGGCTACTACAATAGTTAAATAATATCAAGTTGTCTGCAGTTGTAGATGCTGCCCAGTTAGTTTCCTCATGACAAATGACAGAAATTTAAATAAGGTATTGTAGAGACAAAACAGCTAGTTTTACGACAATGAATTCTGATGCACCTGTTGCGTATTATGTCTAACGATATACGAGGAGAAAGTTGTGAGTATAAAATCCAGGAAAAATTTAATTAGACAATATTAAAAACTATATAAAATACAGGAAGATTTTGTGAATTGAATTCTTAAATGGCTGTTAACATCAATGCAAGTTAAATCAGTTCTTTTTCAGGTTGGACGTCAAGTATTTGTTGACGTCGACAACCAATCCGAATGGGTTGGTCAATTAAGAAAAAAACGCGTGTATCACAAGATAAATAACCATTTTGTAAGCATAAACATTTCTAGAAGGTTCATGCACTTCTTCAGTTTATTTCTTATGTAGAAAACGTCATTTCTTCGATCTTTATTTGTACATACATTTGAGCATTTGATTTCAAGAATGATTGTGTCAGAATTCACACTTGTACATTGAGGGTGAAACTAAACAAGAAACTAGTCAGATCGTAACAAACTGTCACAAAGAATAATTCACAATTTAACAATCTTTTTTAATTGATGAAAAAAGATTAGAATCAAAGACTATTTTTTTTAAATAGGGGTAAACATTTCTTGAATAATAATAGTTATATACATATAGTATGGATAATTTCAGTTGATCATTTCAAATCTGATCAAAATTATGTTGGTTGAAGTTACGAAGTTCCAACAGTAATATATTCCATCAATAACAAAGTAAAATGTTTAAGATAACTGGTATATTTATTTTTAAGTATTGTCATCGCTCGTTTTTAAGCTTAGTTACATGTAAGCACCAGTTATCCTCAACGGAGCATAGGCCGCTGACCGGCATTCTTCAACCTGCGCTGTCCTGAGCCTTCCTTTCTGGTTCTTTCCAATTGTTGTTCATTTTTCTGATATCTGTTTCCATTTCTCGGTACAATGTGTTCTCTGGCTTTCGCTTTTCCATTGGCCTTGAGGCTTCCAGTTGACGGCTTGTCTTGTGATACGATTCAATGTTTTCCATAGTGTATGTCCTATCCGCTTCCACCGCTTCTTCCTGATTTACTCATTCTCCAGTTGGTTCTCTCGCACAGTTGGTTGTTGCTGATGATTTCTGGCCAACGGATCCTAAATATAGACAACTGTGAATGAATACTTGTATCTTCCGAATGATGGCCTTCGTGGTTCTCCAATTTTTCGTCCCGTACAATAGCACTGTGTTGACATTTGTATTGAAAATTCTGATTTCGGCGTTTGTTGATAGCTGTTATGAGTTCCGGATGTTCTTCGATTGTAGAAATGCAGCTTTTGCTGTGTCAATCTGCGCCTTCACATCTGTATTAGATTCATCGACAAGTGTGATTTGGTTGGCGCATGTTGTGCTGTATCGGAGAATCTTGCTTTTCCCTTTGTATATGTTGAGACTTCCCGCTACGGAGGTTGTATTCACAATAACAAAATTTTTACTTCACTTCTGAACAGGTTTATCATAATCTGTGTTGATTTTTTCTGGAGGTTTTGATTCGTATCATGTTCTCACTTGCACAATACCCTTTCAAATACTAAACAAATCAAGTGTTTTATATCACTCTTCTATACTGCTGACATCATTTTCATTCCAATGAGTTGACATCCATTTTCTAAGAGAAAGCACTAACATTTCTTTGCTTGATTTTACAGTTTTAATAGTTCAATGTTATCAATAAAATAATGATAATATTTGAGTAAATATAAAAAAATAACTTGCAATTGTTATTTTTACATTCACATTTATTCTATCTAGATGTTAAACAACCAGGCAATTATTTATTATTCGTTCGAATACTGGTTGGAAGATTTCAAGGTATTTTGGTTAAAAAAGTGACAATTACGGGGCCAGGTATTTTGAGAAGTTTGGAAATTATATCAATAATACATATATATATGTGCCTTGATTTAAACAATGATATACTTTTAAATGAAGTTTAAAAATGTACCAGTTTCAGTCGAATGATGGATGATGATGTTGATTTTTGACAGCTTGCTTACAGATAGATGATTACAAAATATTTCAATGTATAGTTTTATCATGAATCAATCATTGTTAAACCAATATTAGAAACTTGGAAGCACTGGACGGCCTTTTCGTCTTGGTATGAGGCTCATCAGAAGTGTCTAATCTTCCCCATTACTGCTATTACTTCTATTATAGCTATCAGTCCTGTATTTGAGCTGACAGTCGCATCTCTGTACTGACGTGGTATGGCAACCTGAACTGATTTACTTACCTACAAAGTTCCGTGTTGTATATATCTGTCTGTCTTTCATCAGAAGTGTACATACACGACTCTCGCACCCCGTAGGATTCGAACCCCAAGACTTTAGGTCTCGCGTGCGAACGCTTAACTTCTGGACCACTAGGGTTAGGGTGGTTTCTAACAGTGGTCTAACAATGATTGGTTGATGATTTCAACGCTTGAAAACACTGATCTGCATAACTCTAATTGAAAAAATAACTCAATCAGTCGGTATGAAAAACTTACTGCAAACTGAATACTTTTAATAACCCTAATATCATGATCAAGATTTTGAGGTCTTTTCTTGACTTGCATTGAATAAAAATTTTCAGTATGTCAATGGAAGCCATGACCAGTATAGTTTAACATTATTCGCGGTCAGACAGTGATCACTGATTGGGTTGATTGGTTAATTGATTATTTTACTGTAAGTTACTGATATAGACATTTCGAACCTAATTCCAGTGATTTAACGTTAGAGCAATTTGTTTGAGATTTGAAGACCGTAATGTTAAATATATGGTTTTCCTAATCAAATATGAATCACAAAAGAACCAGTGATAATTAGGCAACAACTATCTCAACTCCTAACAAACATTAAACCTATCAACGAACGCGCTCTCATCTCATTTAATTATGAAAACTGTGTTTGAAAATGTACAATACATACTAGATGGGATTATTCCTTTGTTTGAGAAAATTAGTTTTATTTTGTTCTCTTGCTAACTTATTTATCGGACAAACTGCTCCGCATGGAGCTCCTCCAGGGCTACTGCCGGTCCCAAGCCCGGATAAAAGAGGAGGGTTAGGCGTAGGTTTGGCGATCCCATCCCATAGAAAACTAACTCACTAAAAAACCGCTAATACTTCAAATGAATGTGCTTTTTTTTTCTTTAAATTTCATGATTGATTTACAGACCCCTATTCTACATTACAAAAACGTCCACCACTAGAAATAATGGAAATAGTTTTAATTGTATTGGCTTGTTTATTACTATTGATTATTGGATTGGTCTTTTTGTATTCTGTAAGTTATGATCCGTACATATATATATATATATATATATATATATATATATATATATATGTTATTTAGAACTGTTGTATTTTAACTGGTTATATTCATGATCATTGGTGGTGGACTTTTTATCAATGTCTCCAGTGAAAATGACCTCAACTATATAGCATTCAATCAGTTTGTTTCTAAAAATAACCAAATCAATGACCTTTGAATTTTTCTAGAATGGTACAAGGTCAGTAGATCAAAACCAATTCGTCATCATACAGCATAATTTTTGCAGTATGAATCATAAGACTCACTGATATACACAAATATTCCCTACGTGAAAGTTATTCAACCTTTGGATCTGTGATACTTTTTTTAATCCGTTTGAATTATTTAGTTTGGATTACTGAGAATGTAGTTCTCATGTGATAACGACAATCATTAGCTTTGATGATACTTTAGAGATACTTATTCAAATCCCTTTACTAATCTAAGAAGATCCATTTCTACGTGATCGCAAGTGAGGGAAGAAGTAAATAGTACTATTATAGCCAGTACACAATACAATCAAGCACACAACTCTCGTTTATTTATACATCATAGAAACGTCCTTGGGACAGTCATAAAAATAACACACTAAAATACACAGCAGCCAATCACAGCCATGGATTTTCTTGGTGGGAATGAAATCTCAAGATCAGTTGATCGGCTCATGCTCGCAAAAGTGAAATCCAAAATGAAGCATTTATCAAGCGAGTTTTTGGGGATCTAACATCCCCAACAGTTATTAATCCTTGCTA